CAGTGTGTGAGCTGAGTGCGCTAGCAATCGAGCATTTAAAGAATCTAGAAGTGCTATCTGTGTGGAAAAAATTATACCCAAATATGTGGCATTAACTAGGCATGTCCCTTTTTTCAGGTTGAATCAGGGCTCAGTTTCCTGCACATGCAATAAGTCTAGCTTGTTTATTTTACTTTTTGTGCTCCAGCTATTTAATGTCTTGGTCTGAGAAATGGCAGATGAAGTTTAATGTGGATAAGTGTAAGGTACTTGCCCTTGGTAATGAAAATAACCCTCGAAGCTATAATCTAGGTGAAGTAGAGCTTGGTCATACAGAATGTGAAAAAGACTTGGGAGTCATGGTAAGCAGAAATCTAAAGCCAAGACAGCAGTGCCTCAGTGTGCGCAACAAGGCCAACAGATTACTTGGATTTATCTCAAGAAGTATAAGTAACAGAAGTCCAAAAGTTATTTTACAGCTCTATACATCACTAGTGAGGCCTCATTTAGATTATGCTGCTCAGTTTTGGTCCCCTTACTACAGGATGGACATAGACTCATTAGAGAACATACAGAGAAGAATGACTAAAATGATTTACTGTGTAAGGCACCTCCCGTATGAAGATAGACTTAAAGCCTTAAATCTCCACTCTCTGGAGAGGCGTAGAATGAGGGGAGAAATCATTGAAGTGTATAAGTGGATGACGGGCATAAACAAGGGAGACATTAATAAAGTACTGAGGGTGTCGAACCAGGTAAGAACCAGGAATAATGGATTTAAGTTGGATAAATTTAGATTTAGAAAGGACATAGGTAAGTACTGGTTTTCTAACAGAGTTGTAGATGCGTGGAACAGTCTTCCCAGTGGGGTGATAGAGGCTAGGACCTTGGGTAGCTTTAAGAAGAGACTGGACAAATATATGAGTGGGAGGGGCTGGGTTTGATTGGTGTTGGGGGGTGCGGGAGTTGTTTCTTGAGTAGCTTTAGGTAGATGTCGTTTTGATAAGGACCTGCCTCGTATGGGCCAGTAGGCCTTCTGCAGTGTTCCTACATTCTTATGTTCTTATATTACAGGTAGGTGCTAAGGAAGTTTTTGTATTGCCCCTTTCTCTTTACAGACAAATTTCCATTTTTTATCGGTGATCCCATAGCCCAGCTGGCAAAGTTCTCGCTTCACACACGGAGGGACCAGGTTCGATTCCCATTGAGGCAGAAGCATTTCAACGTGTTTCCTTACATCTGTTGTCCTGGTCACCTAGCAGCAAGTAGGTACCTGGATGTTAGTTAACTGGTGTGGGTTGCATCCTGGGGGATAAGATTGAGGACCCCTATGGAAATAAGACAGACTGTCCTTGATGACTGTCGATGACTAAGATATCTTGACTCTTCTTGCTCCTTCCATCCCTAGTATTGCAGCCCTTGTTTCCCCCACATTGCCATACTTCTGTATCTATCAGTTTAAAGATGACACAATTAAACAACTCCTTGGACTGCATTAACTAGTACTACCATGTTGTTAGGTAAGACACATATGCAACAGTTAGACAACTTTATTCCGAAACGTTTCGCCTACACAGTAGGCTTCTTCAGTCGAATACAGAAAGTAGGCAGGAACAGTAGAGATGTGAAGACGATGTAATCAGTCCATCACCCTTAAAGTAGTAGAATTTGAGGTTGTCAGTCCCTCGGCCTGGAGAAGTTCAGTTCCATAGTCGGGAACTATCTGAAGATCAAGCGACAGTGCGGAGACTTAAATACTGTCGGAAGGAGAGGTGCAGGGTAGTAGTAGTAGTAGTAATAGTAGTAGTGAGAGGCAACTGAGAGGTCATGTCCCTCTCAGATCCAACCCTTCTCACTTGAAAAGCTTGTTCAAGGTGTTTTCTGTACCAAGATGCACGTGTTGCAGTGTCTGACAAGATGAACATCAAAATGGTATACAATACCGACAGGTTGTTAGGTAAGACACATATGCAACAGTTAGACAACTTTATTCCGAAACGTTTCGCCTACACAGTAGGCTTCTTCAGTCGAATACAGAAAGTAGGCAGGAACAGTAGAGATGTGAAGACGATGTAATCAGTCCATCACCCTTAAAGTAGTAGAATTTGAGGTTGTCAGTCCCTCGGCCTGGAGAAGTTCAGTTCCATAGTCAGGAACTATCTGAAGATCAAGCGACAGTGCGGAGACTTAAATACTGTCGGAAGGAGAGGTGCAGGGTAGTAGTGGTAGTAGTAATAGTAGTAGTGAGAGGCAACTGAGAGGTCATGTCCCTCTCAGATCCAACCCTTCTCACTTGAAAAGCTTGTTCAAGGTGTTTTCTGTACCAAGATGCCACGTGTTGCAGTGTCTATTACTACTATTACTACTACTACTACTACCCTGCACCTCTCCTTCCGACAGTATTTAAGTCTCCGCACTGTCGCTTGATCTTCAGATAGTTCCTGACTATGGAACTGAACTTCTCCAGGCCGAGGGACTGACAACCTCAAATTCTACTACTTTAAGGGTGATGGACTGATTACATCGTCTTCACATCTCTACTGTTCCTGCCTACTTTCTGTATTCGACTGAAGAAGCCTACTGTGTAGGCGAAACGTTTCGGAATAAAGTTGTCTAACTGTTGCATATGTGTCTTACCTAACAACCTGTCGGTATTGTATACCATTTTGATGTTCATCTTGACAGACACTGCAACACGTGGCATCTTGGTACAGAAAACACCTTGAACAAGCTTTTCAAGTGAGAAGGGTTGGATCTGAGAGGGACATGACCTCTCAGTTGCCTCTCACTACTACTACTACTACTACTACTACTACCCTGCACCCCTCCTTCCGACAGTATTTAAGTCTCCGCACTGTCGCTTGATCTTCAGATAGTTCCTGACTATGGAACTGAACTTCTCCAGGCCGAGGGACTGACAACCTCAAATTCTACTACTTTAAGGGTGATGGACTGATTACATCGTCTTCACATCTCTACTGTTCCTGCCTACTTTCTGTATTCGACTGAAGAAGCCTACTGTGTAGGCGAAACGTTTCGGAATAAAGTTGTCTAACTGTTGCATATGTGTCTTACCTAACAACCTGTCGGTATTGTATACCATTTTGATGTTCATCTAGTACTACCATCACTGCCTCAGATATATACACTATATCTTGCATACATACCAGACATGACAAGCACATCCTAACCAAAGTTAATGATATTTTGAATTCTTACCTGTTACTGTAACCCCTTTAATTATCAGGTGTTATGGTAAAAAGGAAAGCAATGGAAAAATTACTGTATGACCCCCAAACAAAAGTTGCAATTTTGAAGGTTTAAAAAAACCCCATATTTTGGTATGCAAACGTTGCACACTTTCCCCCCAAAAACCAACCCCAAAAGTAGGGGGTCCCACAGGAAGCATCAGCTTTCCTTGGGCCCCACTCTTTTTCTAACTACATCAATGATCTCCCGAATCCCATAAACAGCAAACCCCCCAAAACCCATATTATTTCCCGATGAAAATACATTTTTTCTTTTTCCCATCAAACCAATGCTGTTTAAACAGAAAATCTCCCAGGATGATGACAAACCCACAAAACTTACCCTGAACCGGGTTTAAACCCCCCTTTTTCATTAAATTTTGGAAAAAAAGCTAAAAATTTGGACCCCCTTTAACAAAACCTTTAAAGGGTTCACCCAAGCCCACAAGCCTCACAGAGGGAAAATTCCGGGTTTTCCACCTTAACAGGGGCCCTTTTAAGTTCCGGACACACATAAAAACAAATCCCCCAAAGAAAATCCCCAAAAAGGGTAGGCAAAAACTATCAAAATAAGGAAAACTACGTCCAATCAGCTCTCCTGGCACTGTACCATTCACTCAAAAACCCTTATCTTACATAGGGGTTTTTGTGCAGGGAAGATAAACCACCCAAATCACCCTAAAACCCCAAATTTAACCCAGAAAAAGGCAGCAGAAAGAATGAAACTTTTTCCCCACTCCGCCAGCATACCCCACCAATTTTCAAAATTTCTGAATCTGCTCACCTTTAAAAAAAAAAAAAATCCAAACTTATTCATGTGCCTACTACTTTACACAAAAAATACACGCAAATAAAAAACCCTTTCCACTAAAATTTTTCCTCCCCAAACCTTAACAGAACCCCTGACCACAAAACCAAGACACACTTTTTTTTTGATTTCCCTCGGTCCCATATCACATTGTGTAAAAACCTATGCCCCAAAAAGGGGGCCCCAAAAAAAGGGAATTTTACCACAAGATTTTTAAAGAAAACCCAGTCTGAAAATCAATTTAAACTCTTTCAAAAGCCACTCAATCCCCCCTAGACTAAATGCCCAAATAAATCGTACAAAACTTTACCTTTGTACTCCCCCCCATCATAACTGAAACAATCACATTGAACCTTTTATCCAAATTGTTTTACAGGAAATAAAATTTAATCATTGTTTTTTACAAAAGCATTTTGGGAAAATAAAAAATATCCTTTTTATTATTTCAAATTTTTGATTCTTTATAATTAATATTCTACTCTTCAACTATGAAATAATTTCTAAACCTTCTGTACAAAAATGATATACTCCTTAGCATTAAATAGAATGTAAAAACCCAAAAATGTTAATTTGGGGCCCTAATGCCCCAAGCATAATTTGAGGCTCTCTTTTCATTGCAACCCCTATTGTAAATTTCAAAAACTCAAAGTACGTTTTCAAAGAATAAATTTAAAAAAATAAGCTTAACAAAGTTTTCCCTTTTGGGGTTTTCGTACACCCAGAATTTTTTTTTTTAAAGTTCTTTGGGGGACACAAAATTATGAACACAAACACAAAAACCCAAAAAAAAATGTAGGGCCCTTTAAAAAAAAAGAACAAGCATTAATAAAAACAAACAACGTAATTATTTCCACTGGGGTCCTTAATACAATCATTTCCTCTTCACAAAAAAGGGGAGAAAAAAATCACCACAAACAATTTTTTCCAACGAGAACAGAACACTCTTTTTTTTTTTTCACTCTTACGTGAAAGGACTGGCTGAACTACCACAGCGGAAAATGTCCACAAAATAGGTCGTCACAGCACCATAACAATGTCCATATTGTGTAGTGTAGCTGCCAGAGCACTGGTAGTGAGCGCCATCTGTTGGCGCTCACACTCAACCTCACTGTTAGTGCTCACACTCAACCTCACTGTTAGTGCTCACACTCAACCTCACTGTTAGTGCTCACACTCAACCTCACTGTTAGTGCACACACTCAACCTCACTGTTAGTGTCGGTATCACCATACCATTTCCTCACTGTTAGTGCTCACACTCAACCTCACTGTTAGTGCTCACACTCAACCTCACACTCACACAAATCAAATCAAGTTTATTCTCTATAAGGGTTACAATGGGGGGTTTACAGGATTTGGATATTGTGTGGTTTACATGTTATAAAATACTAATTACAGAGGGGGTCACTAGGACAACACTATAATAAACAGTATTAATAAATAATATTAATACTAACAAAAAATAACATTAATGCTAAAAACTATGGCAATCAACAGTAGCAGTAAACGACAGTGTTAGTAATCAACAATACCTGGACCTGGAGTTTACCTGGAGAGAGTTCCGGGGGTCAACGCCCCCGCGGCCCGGTCTGTGACCAGGCCTCCTGGTGGATCAGAGCCTGATCAACCAGGCTGTTGCTGCTGGCTGCACGCAAACCAACGTACGAGCCACAGCCCGGCTGGTCAGGAACCGACTTTAGGTAATAGCAATAATCAAGTGACAATAATCCCCTCAAGGAAGGTTCCTTGATGTTGGTGAGGGGCTCTTGATTTAGGGAATTGGATCTGTGCTCCAGTTCCCCGAATTAAGCCTGAATGCCTTCCACATCCCCCCCCAGGCGCTGTATAATCCTCCGGGTTTAGCGCTTCCCCCTTGATTATAATAATAATAAAGTGACAATAATTGATAATAACAGTAATCAACAACACGGTCATGCTCCCTCTCCATAGGATGGAAAAGGCTCGTGATAGGGGCTTCTTGCAGTTCTTGATGAACACAGTGTCAGCGTGTCAGCGTGTCAGCGTGCCTCGTTGTGCTCCGGGTTATCTCGTGTTTTCACGGTCGCTCTTACGTGCTAGAACTTTAATTTGTGTCATCAATCCTATACGATACATCCCTCTAGCGCCTGGAACCAATCTTGGGCGGAAAACATTATATACTGAGTCAAAAAAAGGAGAATTAGTGTGCACTACCTAGCAGAGTTTACTGCCAGAGGGGAATCATAGGCCTGTGTCCCGTGTGAAAAAAATAATAATAATTGAACTTTTCGTGTCAGAGGAAAGAAAGCCTCCCTGATAACATTGAGTATACATAGTGTATAGTGTATACTACAGTGGCTCCCTAGTATATTGATGATAAAGGCTAAAGTGTCATTTGAAAACAGGTGAATTTGTAAATGAAGTGATAAGCCTATAGAGGCAGGTGCCAGAAGTCGCCAGAAACTTACCACAGGTCAGCTGTTTTAATAATCTTCCTGGCCTGCTAGTGTACTCGCATATAATCTAGTGATACCAGTGAATAGCAGAATACAGTGTTGTAGTAGCAACTAACCAGTATTATAATGGTACTTAGTGGAGTGGAGTGACTTTCATTAGTTTCTTTTTTCTTGAAATACCAGACGTATACTGTGAATTTCATATAACCTGTAGTTACCAGCGGTCGCAATATACACAACGAGAAGCAATTATTACTACAGAAAAAGCGCCCTTCCTCCAAAATTTGCACCAGTCAACTATAGTGATAATATAGCATTTATTGTGGTGGAGACGGAAAAAAAATAGAAAAGCTAGATACAGCGATTGATAAACAAGGGTGGAGGTCGACCGTTCGTCACTGTAGGAGCTGCCGGCAGTCACCGATTTCTTAAACACGCAAGTTATACTTTTGTATCAATCAAATCACATATTACTCGGGTAGATAATTTCCAGTAGATCCTTCAATGTGTTAGCTCAAATCACCGACCAGTATGTTTTAAATAAGTGACCCACTGATCAGATCAGATCGACTGGTCCGAACCCGGGACTGGTTTCAAACGGTTTCGTTGGACAATAAAGCAGACTGTAAACGGATGGGGTTGTAGGCGCCCTTATAAACACAAACATTAAAAATCGGAACGTGACGGTAAGCGTCCAATTTTACAAAAACAGTTAAAAACAGAAATACAAATAGCTAGAGCTTCATTTAAGGTTATTAATAGAATATTCAAGAGGTTGCTAGTAGAATTGCAGTAAATCTTTCCATTCAAATCATTATAAAGCTGTGTGTAGTCTGGGTCAGTCAAACAAACGGGCTTCCACATGGATAAATTGTCATTTTTGTGGAAATTGGTGTTACGCCCCTTGTGCAGATATTCAAGAACTAGCTACAAGCAGTATTAAAACAGAAGTGTTTTTGGGTATGCCCAAATGAGGAAAATCTGTGGACTAAAATCACAAGGGTATTAAAAGAGGACAACATCAAAGCTGCTTTCATAGAAAACCTGGAAGCTTTCTACAACAGATGGGAACATAAAAAGTCTGGGCTGAATGGTACTGCCCTTGATACTGGCCATGTAGTCAGAAACTGTAAGGCTGGAGGTGATGTCCTGGTAGTCAGTAAATGTGGGGCTGATAGTGCTGTCCTGGGAGACAGTAATGGTGAAGCTGGAGGTGCTGTCCTGGGAGACAGTAATGGTGAAGCTGGAGATACTGTCCTGGAGACAGTAATGGTGAAGCCGGAGGTGCTGTCCTGGGAGACAGTAATGGTGAAGTTGGGGGTGCTCTCCTGGGGGGACAGTAATGGTGAAGCTGGAGATGCTGTCCTGGGAGACAGTAATGGTGAAGCTGGAGATGCGTCCGGGGAGACAGTAATGGTGAAGCTGGAGGTGCTGTCCTGGGAGACAGTAATGGTGAAAGCTGGAGATACTGTCCTGGGAGACAGTAATGGTGAAGCTGGAGGGCTGTCCTGGGAGACAGAAATGGTGAAGCTGGAGATTACTGTCCGGGGAGACAGAAATGGTGAAGCTGGAGATTACTGTCCTGGGAGACAGAAATGGTGAAAGCTGGAGATACTGTCCGGGGAGACAGTAATGGTGAAGCTGGAGATACTGTCCTGGGAGACAGTAATGGTGAAGCTGGAGATTTTGTCCAGGTAGTCGGGAATTATACGCAGGAAGGAATACATATAAATGACCTCATAGGGGACAGGAGCCATAGTAGGGAAACAAGTGTAGTAAAAGATAAGTAAAACCAATATTGCAAACTAGAAATCCCGCAGGAAATAGCAAACAAGAGGACTCCAATAGCAATAGTGAGGATAAATTACCAAAAACAACTGGTGGGAGCCCCATTGTTGGTGCTAGGGAGGATAGAAGTAAGACAGGGAAACATGCACCAACAGGAAATACAGTCACAGAAACCCAAGGCAAGCGGAAACCAAGCCTGTGCACATACTATGCACTTGGTATCTGCTGGCAGGGGAAATTTGGAAAAAACAGATGGGACATGCAACTATGACCACCCTAGAAAAAATGCAATGCCCATATGACAACAGGAAAATGCAAACTCCCTTCCTGTAAGCTTTTTCACCCTGAAATGTGGTACCTCTTCAGTACAGGAAAGACTGTGCTATAACTTAAATTGCCAGGCATACCATCAAAAGGGGACAAAAAGATACAAAACATCCAGGCCATGGGAAAAACCTGGGTAGCCACAGCCACTCAAGAGGGAGTGGTTTTTTTAGTGCCAGGAAGGAAAAAAAAACTGGCAGGAAATGGCAGAAATCGTACACCAAATCCAGTCATTCCTGGAGTGGAACCACAGTCGATGGCCTCCACTCCAACCAACAGATACAGATACTAATGCCGGAAAAAAATCCCCCCCCCAGTACCAACAATACCACCCCGATAACATTCTTCTTGCAAATATACAGGGTCTAAAGCCAGCAACAAACAACAAAATACCTTTCATCCGTGGACTGCTTGAAAAGGGGCAAAGGCAATGTTCGCGGCTTTCACTGAGACCCACATAAAGGATCACTTGGACAACGAAATTGGATCCCGGGTTACAACCTATACAGATGTGACAGAGTGAACAGGCAAAAGGGGGGGGGGGGGGTTGGCCTGTACATTGCAGAGTCACTTGTTTGCACAGAACTGCTTAATGCCTCAAATGATGTAGTGGAAGTTTTAGCAGTAAAGGTCGAGAACCAAAACCTAGTCATTGTGGGTATCTACAAGCCCCCGGATGCAACACCCCAGATTTCAACTTAAGGCCTAAAATGGGGGGAATAGCAATAATATTGTTGCAGTAATAACACCAGGAGGCAGCTTGATGAAAATCACACTCACACGAGCTTTTAAATCTCTGCACAAAATTCAATTTAAACCAGCAAATAATAGAGCCTACTAGACTGGAGAATACACTAGCCCTCATCTTCACTAACAATGATGATCTGATAAGAAATGTCACCATATAAAAAAAACAATATACGCAGATCACAACATAATTGAGGTTTCAGACATGTATGCGTGGAGCCCCAGACCGACAAAATGAGACTAGTCACGAGGGAGCATTCACCAAATTCAACTTCAATAACAAAAACATAAAGTGGGACCAAGTAAACCAAGTCCTAACCGATATAAGCTGGGAAGATACACTCAGCAACACAGACCCCAACTTATGCCTAGAACAGATTAACTCGGTGGCACTCGATGTATGCACAAGGCTTATTCCTCTAAGAAAAAGGAGGAGTAGGTGTAAAACAGAAAGAGACAGGCGCTCCCTTTACAGGCGACGGAAAAGAATAACAGAGCGCAAAAGAGGTCCAATATATCTGAAATGCGTAGGGAGACACTGGTCAGAGAAATAGCAAGCATCGAACTTAAGCTAAAAGAATCCTCATATCCGACATAGACAAGGATGTCAGCCACAGCACCGTGTCTTCCTTTGCAGATGACACCCGAATCTGCATGACAGTGTCTTCCATTGCAGACACTGCAAGGCTCCAGGCGGACATCAACCAAATCTTTCAGTGGGCTGCAGAAAACAATATGAAGTTCAACGATGAGAAATTTCAATTACTCAGATATGGTAAACATGAGGAAATTAAATCTTCATCAGAGTACAAAACAAATTCTGGCCACAAAATAGAGCGAAACACCAACGTCAAAGACCTGGGAGTGATTATGTCGGAGGATCTCACCTTCAA